TTTTATTTATTCATTTATTAGTTGGGTTGTTTCCACTTTTTGGTTTATAAATAATGCTACAATAAACATTTCTGTACAAGTTTTTGTGCAAACATATGTTTTCAGTTCTCTTGGATAAATACCTAAGAAGAGACTCTCTGGGTTACATGGTAACTCTGTGCTGAGCTTTTTGAGGAACTGCCAGAGTATTTTTAGATGTTTTGTTTTTTTAAAAAAACATCACGTAAATGTCATTTTTAATATGAGATTTACCAGGGAGCAGGGTTGTATCTGGAGTAAATCCATGTGACTGTTCCTATGGCTTCACATGGTCCTGAACACATAAGAACATCAGTGGATCTAGCTCGTCGTCCCGCAAGTATCTACTGAGCACCTTTGTAACATGGGTGATACCACAGTGTGCAGAATAGAGAAGGTTCCTGTCGTCACAGATCTTACCGTCTGGGGGAGGAAGCAGCCCTTATATTAATACTTTCTCCACTAAATATGTAGTAAAACTGTGATAAGTGCTCTGAAGGGAGAGTACAGGGGATTCGTTTACACCTGGGGGTAATGGCGAATGAGTGGGTGTCGAGAAGAAATGCCCCTGATAAAGGGGTGTGAAAGCCGCCGTCCGGAAAATGTGTCGGAGTTATCTAGGTGAGGCTGGAGAGTGTTTCATTCACTGAGACACGTGCGGAGGATTTAAGCAGGAAAGGGCATCAGTGTGGGGAGAGGGCGGAGGAATGGGAGGAGGTGGTAATGGGGAGCAGGCGGGAGCTGCTCCGTCACAGGCCCTGTAGATGTGGGGACTTCTTTTATGAGCCAACAGGAGCCAGTTGAAACAAAGTTTTGAGCAAGGGGTGAATTAATTCTGTGCATGTATGTTTGTGTGTAAGTATATATGGATACACATACATGGACACAATACATACTTATTATTCGTGTATGAAATCATTTATAGTCATTGCAGTGGAAACTCAATTTGAAAGAGATGAAGAGTGAATGCAGGAAGCTGCTGGCTAATGCAGACTTCCCGTTGGGAGGTGACGGCTGCTTACAGTAGGGGGGCTGCGTTGGTGGTGGTGGGGAGCAAAAAAATTTGGCAGAATTTGAAAGAACGTTAGGTCCTAAAATCAACAGAACATTTTTTGTAGTAAAAATTATTCTCAATTTATAAAGGTTTTTTTTTTTTTTTTTTGCATAATAACAAGAGTTTAAAAATAAAAAGATGAACAGTGAACAGGTGTAAGAGCGTAATGAAACTGTCCAAAATCATCATACAGCATTGTTAACAAACAGAAGTTCAATTGCTTAGAAAGTGTTGCTACAAAAAACACCACCACCACCAACAAAACAACAAGAAAGAAACCCAACTCGAATTAATGAGTGAATTTGACAAAGTTGTGGGATGGCAAGGTCATTATGCAAAAGTTTAATGCATTCCTATATACTACAAATGACCAAGTGAAAAATGGAATTGACATAAAAACTTTGACAATATAAGAAAAAAAATGATCAAATATCAAGAAATAAATCTAATGGAAGATCTCTATGCTGAAAAACTACAAAAAAAAACAAGAAAAAAAACCCATATCTGAGAGAAATTAATGAAGGCATAAATAAATTCAGAGATACATCTTATCTAGGAATTGAAAGACTTGAGCCCCACAATCAAAGTCCTGGGAGGTTGTTTTTGTTTTTTTAGGAATTGACAATTTGATTCTGAAATTTATATGGAAATGCAAAGAACTTAAAAAGCCAAAACATTCTTGAAAAGGAACAAAGTAGGAGGATATACACTATCTCATTTCACGACTGTATAAAGTTACAGTAATCAAGATTGTGTGATTGGTGTGAAGATATGCAAACTGGTCACTGGGATAAATTCAGTCCAGAAATCTGTCCACCATTATGCCATGTCTGTTTAACGGGGGAAAGAAACATCTCTTAAGCAGAATATCAAAGATGTTGATTGAAGTTCAATACAAAAATGCATACAGATTGTATGATTTAATGTGTATGAAATACCAGACTAATCTGCACTGACTAATTTATATTTGCCTCTGGGGTTGGAGGGGTGGACTGTAAAGGGGCACGAGGAATCTTTCTGGAATTCTGTATCTTGTTCTGATGGGTAGATTCACAGGTATTTAGTTTTCAAAACTCATTGAACAGAACTCTAAAGATCTATACATTTCACTGTACGTTTATACCCCCATTAAGAAAAGAAGGTCTCACAAACGTGAGCCAGGCTGACAGGTGCCCTAAATAAAGGTAGTGGGCTGGGTATAGAGCAACAGGAAACTATGAACATGGGGTGGTGAGCCCCATCGAAAGACGTGGCCATTGCCCTGTGGCGGGCACATTTACAGCATGGGAAATGACTTTCCCCACAAGCCTGAAGTCTTCATTTTCATGCCACATCTCTTGATTTTAGAAATATGAGACACTGACTTCTTTTAAACTAAGTATTGCAATTGGGAGAGTGTTTACTAACATGAGATTGAATCAATAGAAAATAAATGGCAATAAATAGCTCTAGATACTGTTGAACAGACTTTTTTCCTAATTTAAATTAATACAAATTTTAGGAAATCTTTGAACATCATTTCATCTTGGTTATGGTTGATCTGAACAGCACTTTGCCAGCTCCCCGTTTGAAGACTCATTATACCGTAGCCCCTGGGTTAAGTGATCGAAAGGCCCAGTGCTCATTTCTTCTTTGTAACAACTAATTATGAGGAAAGTACTGCTAGGCAACAAGAGATAGCACCTAATCCAGGGCTTTTATATTCTAAATATTATGCTTTGAATCCCAGTACTTTTTTTTTTTTTTTTTAAATCCTCACCTGAGGACATTTTTCCATTTTTTTGTTCAGATAGAGTGGGAGGGAGAGAGAGGAAGAGAGAGAGAGAGAAACATCGACGTGAAAGGGACACATCGAGTGGCTGCCACCCGCATGACCAACCAGGGCCGGGGACAAACTGCAACTGAGGTACGCACCCTTAGCGGGAACCGAACCTGGGACTCTCTGGACCTCAGGCCGACTTTCTAACCGCTGAGCCAAACCGGCCAGGGTGAACCCCAGTACTTTTTTTTTATTCTCACCTGAGGACATTTATGCTTTCATCTTCAGACAGAGTGGGAGGGGGAGAGAGAGGAAGAGAAAGAGAGAAACATTGATATGAGAGAGACACATCGACTGGTTGCCACCCACATGACCCCAACCGGGGACAAACTGCAACCGAGGTACATGCCCTTGGCAGGAACCGAACCCAGAACTCTCTACTGTGGGCCGACGCTCTAACTGCTGAGCCAAACGGCCAGGGCTGAACCCTAGGACTTTGAGAGCAACATCGAGGAGGAGGCTTATTCCTGGGATCAGTTTGGGTAAACTGAAGCAGTAGAGTTTTGTATGTTAGGATATAGTGGTCAGTTTTAGATGCCTGTGGTTCAGTTCTTTGACCCCTAACTGGATGAGCGTGGTAAAAATTAGAACCTCAACTTGTTCAATAGCTACAGTTATTGTACTAGAAATACTTTTATTTTAGCTCTTCAACTTGGAATTATTATTTTTAATTAATGAAATAAATTCACCAAAATTCACTATAAGATATTACTCATTACATTTATTCATTTAGCAAGCATTTTAGTGTCGTATGGTCCAGGAGTGCTATGAATTACTAAAGATAAAGAAATGAGTAACAGCCTGTGTGTTCAGGGAATTTTGAGACACAAACATTATTTTTAGATTAAAATAATTTATATTGTAATACTGGTTTTAAGACTTTGTAATTAATGTTAGATTTGCTGTTTAACATTTAGAGTATTATTATTATTGTGATTTCCTTCAGTTTCTTCAAAATAACCCAAACCTAATGTTTTTGTACCCATAAATTATTCATTCTGCAAATATTTGCTGAGTAACTACTGTGTCTGGTACTGTATTGTTTCTGGGAAATACGGTGTTAAAGCAAATACTTGCCCTCAAAGAATTTACGATCAGTATAACTTGTTGACTAATGTTGACTTATTACTTTTTTATAAATAAGTTTTTATTGATTTTAGAAAGAGAGGAAGGGAGAGAGAGAGATAAACATTGATGAGAAAGAGAAACATTGATTGGCCGCCTCCTGCACGCCCCCTGCTGAGGAGTGAGCCCACAACCCAGGCCTGTGCCCTGACTGGGAATCAAACCAGCGACCTGCGACCCGCGTGGGACCGTGCTCAGCCAACTGAGCCAGAGCAGCCTTTTCCTTCCTTTTTTTTTTAAGTACTGACTGCTGAGCTAGCTATCTCACATTATTACTTTTCCTATTTTTGTTTTGTTTTATCTTTTAGTGTCTGTTTCATGTGGTATATTCATTATTACGGCACAGACACATAGTAGGGAGAAAACAGTGCACTGAGTAACATTACTGCTGCAAAGCAGCAACGAAACACTGAGAGACATCAACCCGTCTATCATAACCGAACAGTAGTCTCCTCTTTCCTGTCTTCTCAGTAAACCGAATGTGGAAACTTTTGCGCTTTTGTTCTATTATAAACCTAAAGGTGCAAATTCTTTATCTGTTGGTTTATGTGTAAAATGTTTACTAACCAATTAGAACTTTATTCCTTCTATGTTTGTGATACATATACATATGTGTGTGTGTGTGTGTGTGTGTGTGTGTGTGTGTGTAGTAGTTATGGCTTCTGACACACTTTTAAGCTTGCCATGCCCTTTTCCATGTCATTTTTGTGGCTTTCCCTCCAGCTGAGCCCTATAATTCCTTGATGCTGAAGAGAGTCCTCAGCAACACCAGTGAGATCTCCTGTCAGATATGTGTTATTGTGGGATCTAAAATGTACAATGATTGTTTCTTATTCTTCATATAATTTTACATTTCCTTGCTGTCAAAATTGCCACTGATGAATTTACTTGAAGCTATTTATTTAAATGATCATTTCATCAGAAGTAGGTTTTTAAATAAGTAGTAAAAATGTTCTTTAAAATGTGACTTTTTTTTCTTTCCAGTGTTGAGAAATGGTGCTTGGGAAATTGTACACTGGGAAAAGGTATGCATTGATTTTTATTTTGTTCTGAGAGAAGAAATGCATAGAGGTTTATTCTAGTGATGTAGTTTTTATGTATAATATAAACAAATGTCAAGAATTCTACTGATATGAAAGCTATTTAATAGTTAATGTAGTAAGCATACATGGAGTCTTCAGTTAGTCACTTCCATTTAATATTTCTGCCATGTGCTAGAAAGACTATTTTCTTGAGAAGTAATATTTATTTAAAACTTTTTGATTCTTTTATGGTATACTTTGGGTACTGTTTTCACAGATATCATTTAACCATAAACTGTTTTTGTGTTTTAATTTTTGCTTTAATCATCTACTGTCCAAGTAAAAATAAAAATTAAAATTCTGATATTTCACATTTGTATATTTTACTTCAAATTTATATATTGTGACTAATCACATTTGGGTACTGCGAATTCTTTAAGAAACAAAAAAGGTCTTCCTGTATAATATTTTAATGATCTGGAAATCAGTTCCATAATATCAAGAAGTTAATTTGCTCACAAGACTTGTAACATGGTCTTTAGTGAGTTAAAATATAATTTAACAAGTATAGTCCAAATTTTCACATGCTCTTCAGACCTCAGTTTTAAAAGGTAAGCAATTGTTAGTTCTCCCTCAGTTCGGGAAGAACATTTAGCCTCTAGCCAGCCACAGATGAATAACCTTTGTAACGTAGTAAAAGGCTTTTTGGCTGTGAGGCCCTCTCCCCAGGGGACTTGTTTCCTGAGCTGGCCAGGGCAGCAGAGCTATTGCCCACAGCCAGTTTATTGGTACTTCAGTGTTTCCCAGTAGGTCGAAGGCCATGCCCTTGAGTCTACCTTGTGATGTTCACCTTGTATCCTGCCCAGAACAGGATTCCCTCTGAATTAATTGCATTATTGTTATTTTAAATCCATGGCTAGAATATTGATTGACATCTCCCTTTCTGGATATTTGAAAGCTCATCACTCTCTCCATTTGATCTAACATAAAAGTAACAAAGAGGAAAATACCCTGATTGTGTTTTATTTCTGTGATAAGCAATATTAAAAAAAAAAAAACACAAAGTTCAAAATAATGTTTCAAAAAAGTGTGTCCTTCTGCCTGGCATTTGTGGATATAAACATTTTAGAAAGAAGACAGGTAGAATATAATCAAGTATGATTAATTGAATTTTATTATAAATATATTTCCTTCCCTAGGGTTGTCAGTGTAGTTAACTTAAGTAAATGTCCTAACAAATTGATAGGTCAGTTTCTTACTTTCTCACCTAGAGTGCTTATTCAGAAAAGAAATAGTTGTCAAGTAGGCGATAACCATCTACTACTTCAGTCTTAACATTAACCTCTTAAAATGACTTATTTTCCTTAAGGCATTATTTCAAGATTGTGCTAATCTACCGGGATTATTGTAACTTTTCAATTTTTACTTTTTCAATTTAAAAACATTTTTTTTTCTTTATTGATTTTAGAGAGAGAGGAAGTGAGAGGGAGGGAGAGAGAGATAGAAACATTGATGAGAGAGAACATCAGTTGGCCACCTCCTGCATGCCCCCCACTGGGGATTTGGTTCACAACCTGGGCACGTCCCCTAACTGGGAATCGAACCTGTGACCTCTCGGTGCATAGGTCGATGCACCACCACTGAGCCACACTGGCCGAGACTTTTTAAATTTTTCACAGACAAAAACAATTAAATTACCAGCCAGAGTTACCCATCACGGTAACATTTTCGGTCCTCTTGGAGAGCTAGCTGTTCCGCAGCTCACCTGGCGTCCCACTTCGAGAGGCAGAGCAGGGTTAGTGTTGCCAGAAGTCATTCAGCCAAAGTGAGCTGATGTTACTTACTCATTAGAATTAGACATTTAACTAATTAGAATTAAAAATTTGGGTTCAATGATGATTTCAAGATAAGTATTCAAAAACTAACAGCATTCTTTTGCTGATAATATCGAGTTTGAAAAATAGAGTCAACAAAAGATCTTATTCCCTATGGCATGTGAGATGCTTACAAATAAACTTAAAATATGTATATGACCTTGGTAAAGAATACAACAAGATTTTAGGTATTAGAGATTCACATAAATGTACAAATGTGTCATATTCCTAAAACGACTAAAAATAGCAATTGTTTCAAAGTGTTTGTGTAATATAATCCCAGGGAAAAAAAATGTTTTTTGCCTTAAGAGCTGACTACATTTTTCATCTTACTTTAAAAAATAAACAGTTAAGAAAATAGAAAAATCCCTGGCCGGTTTGGCTCAGCGGTTAGAGCTTCGGCCTGCGGTCCGGAGAGACCCAGGTTCGGTTCCCGCTAAGGGCACGTACTTCCGTTGCAGTTTGTCCCCGGCCCTGGTTGGTCTTGCGGGTGGCAGCCACTCGATGTGTCCCTTTCACGTCGATGTTTTTCACTCTCTCTCTCCCTTCCTCTCTCTCCCTCCCACTCTATCTGAACAAAAAATGGAAAAATATCCTCGGGTGAGGATAAAAAAATAAAAAAAAGAAAATAGAAAAATATTTTGGAAAAACGAAGAACAGTGTGGAAGGACTAACTTATGAAATAGAAAGCAAAAGTTATTAAAGTAATGTAGATCTGTTCCAAAAATAGACATTAATGAAGTAAAATAGAGTAGTACAGTGTGCAATAGAAGGAAATAGAATGCCCTGAAATAAAGCCCACTTAGTATTTGATAAAGAAGGCAAAAATCACCATTAAAAGGATTATATGATAAACTATTTAGGGTCACAGATTAGCAGTTTAAGAAATAACACAATTTATATCTAAATCACAACCTATGCTAAAATAAATTCCGACCGAATATGGAAAATATTTTTACCAAATATGACAAAGATTAAAATCATTGTTATATAAATAGGAAATAAATGTTGGCAGTAAGCAAGAAGTACTATAATAAACAATCAGATTCAGTATAATATTCAACCTAATAATAAAAATTACATATTTAAATAATGTTGAAGTTTCATTTGCTATCTATTCAATAAATAAAAACAAGCTCCCTTGTACGTCATAATTTTTAATTTTTATGAAGTATTTTATTGACATGTTATTGTGGATTAGCAGTTTGGCTCTTCATATTAAGAATCATAAAAAGAGAATTCTGGGAATTTATCTCAAGAAAATAATCACAAAGTAGGGAAAAACCTGTATATGTACAAAAATGCGTATGGTAGCATTATTTCTAATAGTGAAAAGTTAGAATACGTCTATACCCAGCAATTGGGAATTTTATAAACAAATTATGACATTCTACACTCTGATATATTTTGTGACAAGTAAAAGCTATAATTTTAAATACTACTGTGCCAACACAGAAAAATTTTATACCATTCATTCAACAAATATGTATTAAGTGTATGTGCCAGGCAGTGAGCTCACAACAGCAAGCAAGACATATGAGTGTTCCTGTGTCATAAAATATAATCATGGATGAACAGAGCTGTGTGCACTAACATGCTGACTGGGTAAAAATGGTTCATTAAACACTAGGTGTTCAGGCATGATAGCAGGCTTGCTTGTTGGGTTAGCCAGATTATGGGGTAAGTCTTTTCTGTAGCTTATGTAATATTTTGTGCAATGAAAAATAAAATCAATAAGCCAAACCTGAGAATTAGATTCACACACCAAGGTAATAAAAGAGACCTTCGTGTAAATCAGCTTTAGTTAAGGGTTCTTCCTTTCTCTGCCTTTCTAAATGTGTGGCTACTGTGGTTGCTTTTTGATGGTTCTCAAATGACCTACACATTTGTCCAGTGTACATCCAGTCATTCACAGGTGGGCAGACTTTAGCTCCCCAACATTAACAGACATCTCCCCAGTTAGCTGCCCTGAAGCCTTTTCTCAAAGTTAAGTTGCCAGTCTCTGGGTTTTTTTTAAAGTATTGCAATTATAAAGCCCTATGCAAGGCATTGCATCTTCACTCTTGAAATGTAAACATCTGTCTGTGTTGCCCTTACCACAAAGACCAGTTCTTCAAAGACCAGTCTGCAGCTGAGACTGTTCACAGGTTTTTGAGAGAGTTGCAGGTGGAATCTTAGAGTCAACATTTTTCTGTCTTTGTAGAGACACATGGAACTGTCGACTGTAGACAAGTGTACAGGTCACTCTATAAAGCTGCTAGAGCATGAAGTTCCCACCATGAAATGTATTTCTTTGAATTAAGAATGTATATCTCTAAAAATTTCCTAGTAAAAACAAATGTATTGAAGCATACAGTTGGACAAAGACAGATTTTAAATCAGTCTGTTTTATTTTGATAAGGTTACCCTTTTACATAATCCTCAATTGTCACACTAGGGCCTAAAGCCCTAAATATTTCCAGAACTGCAGTGTTTTGGGGACTAAAACTGCTTTGTCATGATATTCCCCCAGTGAGAACATGTGGCCAAAGAATTTTTGGCATCTTGACATTTTCCCTCTGTCTGTTCCTCGTCTGCACACACCAGGCTGGAAGGGGGAATACCTCCTCAGGAGCTCAGATCCCAGAAAGAAAAAGAGGTGCTTGCATGTGTTCGAGAAAGTGATCTAAAACAGAGGCACCCTTCGGAGGGAGTCCGTTCCCTGCTTTCCCGTGAGGACCCTTAGCACTTATTGGGCCCGTGGTTTTCCCAGGCCACCGAGGCAACCGCGTGATACTCTATCAGGTGCTAATATTTTCTTTTATTCATCAGTTAAATAACCACAAGCCTTTCTTTGTCTTACCATGAATAAAAGTGTTGGAAAGCAGTGTAATTAATTATAAATTTTCCTAAATCTGTTAGACTCTGACACTATAACATAGATACACATGAGCCTGCTTTTCGAAGCAGAAGTCCAACTGGAGGGTACACATGAGCACACAGATAGTGATTAAAGAACAATTAAACGGTAACCTGGGTTCTCTCTAAGAGCCATGCTTTCAGTGGGAGCTTCCAGCATGTTATCCCCACACATTACTGTAGAGACCAGTTTACACTTATCTTTGCTGGGTTTTTTATTTTCCCAGTTTGCCCTTTTTTGAGGGAGGGGTTTTGGATTCCCTGGTCCCTGGCAGTTTGGCAATTTCAGATAATCCACATTTCAGCTGTCATGCATCTTGTTGAATCAAAGCATCCAGAGCTTCCAGACCTGGATAGTCAGCATACCTGCTCTAGGTCAGAAGGCCCCACCTGTACTCTGTCCTCACCTGCTCCTCCCCCAGAATAGAAAGCACCATAGTGGGCTGTCCCTGCAACCATTTCTTTCTTTCTTTTTCTTTTTCTTTCCTATTTGTCTTCAGATAGAGTGGGAGGGAGGGAGAGAGAGAGGGAAACATGATGTGAGAGGGACACATCCAACTGATTGCCTCCAGCATGACCCCAACCAGGGCCAGGGACGAACTTCAATCGAGGTATGTGCCCTTGACCAGAATCGAACCTGCTACTCATTGGTCCCCGGACCGACGCTCTAACCACTGAGCAAAACCTGCCAGGGCAGTCATTTCTCATTGTGGTTCCCCTGCGAATACCATTCTCGCCTTCCCCTTAGTGAAGTGTTGTTTTAGGATTCAAGGAAAAGGGGGGAGAGGAAAGAACAAAAAAGCTTTGACCAAAAAAGGGAGAGGGGGGGCTATAATTTTTAAAGAAGGCTTTTCTTCTTTTAATTAAGAATTGAAACTTTGGCCACTAGGAGAGGGCACCTTTCGCGATCTAATGGGCGTGGCCAGCAGAGTAAGGAGTTGGAGTTGTGTTGTTTGCCAAATGCTCTGTGACAGACCTGTCGCTTAAATGACTTCTGACAGTTTCTGACATAGTATATCTTTAATGTGTCTTCAGTCCATGCTCACAAAAAACACTAACAGATAGTAAAATGAGAAAGAGATTAAGCTAGATTTTTAAATTTAAAATACAGTGACAGTTTCACTATTGACTTATGCAAAATCAGGCTTTGCAGGCAGGCGGATGTGGGACTGAGTCTGAGCTCTTCATCCCACTGTGATCTTGGGCAAATAACTTAAAACTAAGACCCGTTTTCCTCCTCTCTAAATTAAGATTTATAATTAATGCCTATTCCATAAGGTCATCATAAGGAATAAAGTGTATGTATATATAATGATATATATAATATATATATGTATACACACACACACATACACACACACACACATACACACACACACACACACATATATATATGAATGATAGTTTTTCCAGTTGTATTGAGACTACTTTAAACAGGGTAAAGATTTCATTTGGTAAATTCCTCCTTTTTATTTTTATGTAATAGGGAGAGAATAAGAGAAGTTAAGATGTCAATTAAATGGATAAAATAAATAGATTTATTTTATTTAGATGTTATATAGCTGATAAAAATACAGTGTTCATTTTTTTTTTAAGAAATGGCCCATCCTTGGCCTCACTTGTAGATAATTTTGTGCCATTTTGAAGTTAAGTGGTTCTTATTTGCCAATAACCATTTTTAGTATATTTTATGTTTAAATACAGTGGGTTGTATATTTGTATCTATTTTTCAATGCAGATAATTAACCAATTCCCAGTTTTCTTTCAGGTAAATGTTGGAGATATAGTTATAATAAAAGGCAAAGAGTATATACCTGCTGACACTGTACTTCTCTCATCAAGGTAGAGATACCTACTGATGCTCAAACAGTGTAGAGGATGTTTCTCTACCCTGCATTGACCTTGTGATTTCTCCAAGGAAATAAGGAATAAACGAAGAATTTTAAACCTCTCTAATGATTTTGAGTTAAGCATTAAAACATTGATTGGACTTAAAGGACTCTTTCATGTTCGCCATATAAAATAAATGATAGGCACTATACTTCATAATTCAAAAGTTATAATTACAGTTAAGTGTCTCCTTTTCCTTTGGATATGTCCAGACCCTACTATATGGACCACTAACTCTTGGATGATTTCCTGTCATTTATTTTATATGATACATGGATTGGGTTCTGCTGATTTTATCTTGCAATCCCTGTTCACGATGAATTCCTTTATGGTGCGTTTGTATACCCCTCCAAAGTGTCTTGATCTTTGTGGTGCATTGGTACAAGAAAATGAATGATTTCTTTTTTGTTATCATGTCTTTTGAAATGCCATACTCTTCCAACAAAAATAATTAAAGCATTTTGCTCTTTTTTTAAAGTTCTTTCCATTACTGAATTTAGATAAATTTTGTTTCACTCATATTTAAGATAGTCATGAATTAGTATTCAGAACATATGGCACAGTTACCCTTTAAAGAATGTGACTTTCAAGTAGTTTTAGGTTTAAAAACTATAAAACTAGTTCTAATATGAAATAAGAGAAAATGTTTTTAATATTTTAGAGGTTGTTTATCATCATTTCCTTGGACAGTTTTATTTGTAAAATCCACGTATAAATATGGACAGTGTCCTTTTTTCAAAATCTGTTTAATCAGGTCATTATTGAAAGTGATTGGAAATATGACAAATTAGTGAAATTTAAATGAGCATAAAAGTTATCCAGATATTTACAGAAGTAAGTCTGTAAGTAGTTGATGTAAGTATAGGTAGTTATATTTCCATATTTTTTGATTGGGAGCTCTTATCACAACCTTCCTGTTTATAGTTCCCTTTGCTTATAGTTTTATCAGGGTAGGTTTCTAAAACTGAAGACAAAGTAACAGTCCACATGTGGGGGTGGGGTTGTCTTTGTCTCAGGTACTGCATAGTATCAGGTGTTCAAGACAGCTCCGCTTAGGAGGCAGGAAACCTGGTTTCTTTCTTGGTTTGGTGATTTTGAACAAAATACTTAATCTCTTAGGCCTTGATTTCATATCCTTTAAAGTGAGAAAGATGGATTGCTTGATCAGATTCTCATATTCCTCAATTCTCCTTTTTGTGTTAATTGATCGAATTTCATGAAGTTTTTTGCATGCCTAGCCAAGAAACAGAACAATGTGCTAATAAAAGTTTGAGAAATGTAGTGGATGATTGACCATCTGAATGTCATGTTTGTAATACTGAGTTCAAAATGACAAAACATTTCAACAATTTAAGAATGTATTGATGATTTCCTGATTAAAATGATCAGAGACATTATCATAGTGAGAATCATATGTGCTGACCCATTAATTTCAGTATTTAAATTTTGTGTACTCAAAAATATGAAGATAACTGACTATACTGCCCCGATTTTATACTTCGTTCTAAGTTAAAAGTTGTCAAAATATTTTTCAGCTGCCTCTGTCCAATCCCAGTATTTCCTAAACATTAGAGCATATATACAGATTTATTTCCTAAACATGAAAAACATTTGTTGGTGGCTCTCAATACTGGTAATTCAGGATAGTTTCTATATCTTAAATAGCATCCACAGTGATTACCTTCCTCCAAAAATTATTACTTTTTAAAAGTTCACCTGATTATTTCTGTCCAAGTGGTAAAATACCACCTTTCAGTTTCTTCTTTTTTTTTTCCTCAAAAGGGTTTTTGCCTTACTTGGCTCTTTTGAACCTACATTAGACTTAAGAAGTAGGTGAAGTTTTGTCATCATTTTACATAAAGAGGAATTTTGACTTTGAGTCTTTTTTTTAGCCACTTAACTTTAGTTAATGACCAGGTCAAGGTTGGAATACTTAATTCCTGATCTAGTATCTCTATTATACAGTACTGTCTGCTGTCAGAGTAAGGACATGGCGATTTTCACCTCTAGGTGACCATCATTTAGCAGTAGAATAAACAACAGTTTATAATATTTTAATTTCTAAATTTTTAAATTATTAATTACTAATAGTATATCTTCTTCAAGGCAGTGTGAAATTAAAGCATGAGCATGGTTGAAAATCACTGTTTTATTGATTTTCATTTTGAAATGAAGAAACTGAAATGTTATCTTAGAGAGATACATAAGTTTAGAAAGTATAAAATAACTCAAAGTATTAATTCAAATCCAAACAGATCTTGGCATGTCTGCTTTATACCTTTGAAAAATTTATCTCAGATTCAACAGATTACCCTCCCAAAAGAATGCATTCCATAGACTTAATTAATTATTAAATCACTCAAAATGTTGCAGTTATGCCTTCTGACATCCTAAATTCCATGTCTTTACAGCTGTGTATTAAAGTTGATAAGTTATTTATGCAATTAACTTTGAAAACGTTTTGGAGTCAGAAAATTTTTAATAAAGTTATTTTTTAGTGTATGTATAAAGAAAGAGCTAGTATAGCATACTTTGACTTTCAAAATAGTTTCCTAAAAAGTCGTTTCCACCCATTTTTTCTTTTCTTCCAGGCTAGGAGTGGACATAGAGTAGATGGCGTTAGAGTGAGGAATGAGAGAAAGGAAAATCTTTCCGATAAAATAGCTCTATGTAAAATATCTTTTTGTTTAATATGGTAAGATGTGCTTGTGATTAAACTTTAAACAATAAAAAATTTTCACATTAAAAATGAAAAATTGAGCTTCAAAGCAAATAAGTAATCCTTAAATATTCCATGTCTTCTTGTACCTTTAGACCTGATCAAAATAAGTTTTGAAAAAATTGGCATTAGACATTTTATTAACATGTATTATTTTCTATAATAATTTCAAACTTTCTGTCTCCTTTGTCCATTTGTTTGTTTGTTTTTCTCTGTTATTCATTTTATTTTTCCATTTTAATTATTTTGAACTGGGACCTGTAGGTGGCAGTAGGGGAAATAGTGAAAGTGACCAATGGGGAGCATCTCCCAGCAGATCTCATCAGCCTGTCCTCCAGGTTAGAACACAGTCGTACAGGATGTGTACGTGGATCCTCACCCTACACCAGACGACAGTTATACCCAAAGGTGGCTGAGTCCTGTGACTCTCCCTGTCAAACACAAATGTTTCATACTTCTCGGTGATGGACATTTCACAGATGTTTTAAAGGCCTTTTACGAAAGCAATGTTGGATGATGTTCATCCCTCAAGTGGGCAGATTCAGCTCCTGTTGTTATCAGTAGCAGCCTATGAGGCATGCCAGTAAAGGTAGATTTTAATTTCCAGTACATTAATATATAGTCATTTTTAACAACATGCCTAAATACTAAGGCTTCATTTAATACCTCTCCAGGTTATTCTGAACATTGTTAAGCTTTACATGAAACAAAGTTATTGAGAAATGTTTAAGATTTTAAACATTTGTCTTATTTTTTATATCTGAAATTTTCTATAAGTTCTAGAGACTCCCTTCAGCAATCATGACTGTAATTTGGGCTTGTATAGGGTTTATGGAGGACCCCCTGCACAAAGCTCGATGTTGTGCGTTCTGTGCCGCATGCTTTGGGATCAGTTTTTATCCCACTTGTAACGAGTGACAAAGTGCACGTTCCTGTGATGAATTTCAGCTGTCTGCTACTGTCTAGACTGTGACACGCGTCTCGTTTCATTTTTCCACTTACTAATCAGAAAGCCTGCTTTGCTTCTTTGACTGTAGCTTGTGTTTTGGATGTCATCATACTTTGCTGAAATATTTATTATCTAGCATGGTTCCTCATCTGAGACATCTTGCTGCCTCTTCATAGCACTGTTAAGAACCGCTTCAGTAGCAGCTGTCTTAGGGATTAAGTATGTCCTGAATTTGGATGCATATTTTATTTGCCCCATTTCAAGTAGAAACCAGGCATTTAACTTTCTACTTTCCTAGCCATTTAAAGTCCTAGAAAAGTCACTTTTTGAAAAAATGTATATAAATAAACTTAGAATGTTATTCTCATTTTAATATGAGAATGGTCTTGGATTTATAAAGTGAGACTTTAATGCAGTTTACTGCCAAAATATGGAATCAGCATTGTTCATTTAGCATCTGCTTGTCATTGTGCTTCTGGATTTTCAGAAGATGTGCTTTATAATTTCATAAACCGTTTCTGTTTCAAACATATACATAAGTCAGTCACAAATTGAGAGTGATTGCCAAAGCCACATTACTATTGTGACAGTAATAAAAACTAAAACTCTGAATAATTGATAGAGTGAAAATATAAATGTTGAAAAACTTCTACAGTTGGGAAAAGTACCGCTTTTATGGGATTTAAGAAGAAAAGCCCATAGAGTAAATTGAACATGAGAACATGCAGAATTACTTTTAAATGAATCTGTAAAATAGAACCGTGTGGTGTAATAATTTTCACAAATCTTGAGGGCACAAAATTAAGCTACATGCCCATTTCTGGTAGACTACTCTGTTTTTTGCAAATACACATTGGAAGTTGATTAGAAAATTTCAGATGATTGTAACTTACAAATTTCTTTCTTCCCAACTTTGAATGCACATGCTTCTCGGAGATTCCATTCATAGGTACTGACAGGATGTTAGCTAATTATGGTTATATAACCGAGTACTTAAAAAGTCTGATGACTTCAGAATGCTTTTCCTTATATTTGAGAGTCAGCTCATACATGTGGACTGCAAACTCACCTGTCTGTGGTTGTTGCGCAAGTAAAATTAGCATATGAAGGGGCAGGAGGTAGATGGTCCAAGGCTAGTGCCTGTGGACAGAGCTGCAGGACACGGAGTGCTTCCACCAGCCGCTGCACACCAGATTTCACTAAGACACCCACCCCGTGGGTCTTCTGTGTCAAAGAGCAGTGTGGCCAAGTTGGCTGGTTCTTGTGTTAGCTTTTGCTGCTACAGAAGTCTCTGAAACAACTTAAAGAAATAGAACAGGAGCAGAAAAGCAAGGGGGGGAAATGTATATATCTACTCTCACTGCAAAATCTGGTCGTGCACTTTTTAAAGTGCCTTAAATTGTAAACATTATGGTTCCTGGGATCCTATTCATCTTTTGTGAAAGAGTAGTGAATGCAAGTCTTTAGAAGCAACAAACTGGAATTTTCTAATCAACCACTTTTCTTAACCAATTTACATGTGGCTATGAGCATGAATCTCACTTGATATTTTTGAGCGAAAGATAAATCTGAACACAAAATGGCTTCACATTTCAGATACAGTCTGTGTTGTGTCTATATGGATGAGCAATTTAAGTATAATGTGACAATTGTATCTTGAGGTCTCTACTGATTGCTGCCAGGAAATTGCTTTGGGGTCCTTCTGACTGTACGGCTGATCCATGAGTCATCATGCATGGGTTCTGCCTCACAGCATTTTGCATTTAGAATGAAAACCAGCAAGAAACTGGGCAACAAAAGCTTTGTTTAGTGAGTCTGAGCATTAAATAAGTTGTTATTATTATGCTTTTCTTCCCCTATTACATCTTTTTGCTTTTCAATTTCAAACAACAGTGAGCCCCAGGCCATGTGCTACATTGAAACATCCAACTTAGATGGTGAAACAAACCTCAAAATTAGACAGGTAAGATCTAAGACGGGTTTAGATAATTGCTGTTATATTACAGGGTATCAGTAGCTTTATTTCTTACTATCTTGAGTTGACCTAATTCTATCCAATTGCCGGTATTTTCTCCTTGAGCCTCTATGAAGAAGTTTTATACATTGGTATCATTACGTATTATGGAACACTCAGATTTACTTGCCTGATTAAATATAGTCCTATTTGTAATATTTTAAATATTTTATGTAACACTCTGATGATAATAGTAATAGTAGTACTTCTAACTGCTTTGATGTGTGTTAGTTCATTCATTTTTCCTAGTCACCTGGCCCACATTATTTGGCTTTGGCATAATGAAAAGACATAGTTTCCATTGCTGTTCTAAATGTCTCACTAATCTCAGGGAATAGTTTGGATTTCCATGCTGCTTACTTCTCAGACCATCTCTAACAGAAAGCAACTGTTATTTTTCAAGTTTTAAAAGGGACTTTAAAAAATGTACAGTCGAGCATTGCTTAAAGACAGGGATAGTTCTGAGAAGTGCATCCTTTGGCAATTTTGTCATTGTGCGAACATCATAGAGTACACTTACACAAGCCTACACGGCACAGCCTTCTGCACACCGAGGCTACATGGCTCCACCTGTTGCTTCCAGGCTACAAGCCTATACAGCCTGTCACTGTACAAAGGAACATGAGATTAAGTCAAGCACAAAAGAAAATGATGCAGTCGAGAGAGTTAAACACTGCATGTGGCTGCTGCCAGGGTAACACGGCATACTGCTGCAGCAAACTTTTATTTTTTTGTAAGTAGAAAGAGTACAGTCTAAATAATGATTTTAAAAAGGTATAGTATAGTAATTTCATAAGCCAGAAATGTGCCCGGCTGGTGTGGCTCAGTGGATTGAGTGTCGTCCTGTGGACTGAGAGGTCCTGGTTTGATACCTGGTCAGGACACATGCCTGGTTGCAAGCTCGATCCCCAGTAGGGGGCGGGCAGGAGGCAGCCGATCCATGTTTCTGTCTCACATCAGTGTTTCCATTCTCTCTCTCCCTTCCTCTCTTTCTAAAAAATCAATGAAAACATTAAAAAAAAAAAAAAAAGGAGCTTAATCATTGCCAAGTATTATGTACTGTACATAACTATGTGCTGTACTTTTATACAGTTGGCAGCGAAGTAGTTTTGTTTACACCAGCGTCACCTCAAAAATGTGAGCAGGGTGTTGCACTGTGACATTAAGACAGCTATGGTGTCGGGGGGCCATAGGAATTTTTCAGCTCCATGATAATCTGATGGAAGCACTGTCATAGATGCCGCCAGTCATTGAGTGAAACATTGTTAAGTGGCCCATGACTGTATTCTCCCGGGTTCTAAGTGAATGGTGAGGACGGCACGTGGGAGGTTGGGGTGTGGTGGAAGGAAAACAGGTCATCACAGAGCACCTGAGTTCTGTGCCCCAGGGAGCAGGGGCCTCGTCAGTTCTAGACGGTGGTAGTTGGCCAGAGGAAGGAACTGTTTTGGAGTTTTCCTTCTCAATGAACTAAAAGAACAGGCTGCTCTGGTTGAACATAGATTTACTCATTTTTCAGCCACTTTCTGAAATTCAGCAGACAGATGCACGCTGTATTTATCTTTGGAAACACACAGTTTTATAAGAACTTACTTTAAAATATCTTTTTGGATTAGTTTCTAGTCTCTCGAATATATTTTAGAACTTTCCAAAAGCTGCCCTATTCTTGCTGAAAACCTAAGTTCAAGTAGTGAGGAAGGTATCCCTTAATTATGATTTGACAAAGAGTGTTTGTTGTATAAGGGGGAGCATTGCTTATAAAATAGTGGGATCGCTTAGCTCAAACGCCCGGATGTATTCAGAATGACCCCTTCCCTCCCACATGCAATGTATTTGATATACTCTTGTTTACATTTTTCTAAACAGGGCTTACCAGTAACATCAGATATAAAAGACATTGACAGTTTGATGAGAATTTCTGGCAGAGTCGAATGTGAAAGTCCAAACAGACATCTCTACGATTTTGTTGGAAACATAAGGCTTGATGAACATGGGTATGTAAAACCGGTCTTCCGAAAAACACAGAATTCACCTTGTCACGGTGTATTGCTAACCTGGGTACATGTTTTCTTGTGCTCTAAGTCTGAGCATTCAAAACCTTTCCTTGACCACTTCTATATTACTTGAACCCAGAGTCCTGTTATAAAAATGCTGATCTTAACCCAGTAGGTACAGCTGAAGACTTGCCTAGGGTCCCTGCCAACCTGGCAGTTGGATGTTTGCAGAGATATGCCAGGCTTCTGGAACATATTTTAGTGGCTTATGTTTTGGCCAGACTACTTATATGCCTAACTGTGCAGACTGTGCTCTAGGGCCTGTCCTTTAATCTCTCGACGCCTCAGGGAGTTCAAACTCTATCCCCAAGGGGTCCATTGTACTAGACAATTTCTTGTCTTCTCTGTGTGATTCCATATGCTGTTTTCTAGTTCACGATATCATCCTATTCATCTTTAGCTGTCACCTGTTTTCTGCCCTTCTCCCTGATCCTTCCCTCCCCCTCCTGGTCTTCTTCCTGCTTCTCCCCTCATCCATTCAGCTGGTATGCATTGCGCATCTAGTAGGCTGGGCCAGTTACAGGCTCAGGGGGCATCAATGAACAAAGCAAATAACTGCCTGCCCTTGTGAGCGTATGTTCTTGCAGTGAGGAAAAGGCAAACAGACAAACAATAAAGTGATACATAGGAAAATACCATGTTAGAAAGTGTTAAATGCTTTAGAAAATAGCCCAGGATAAGGAAGATTGGGAGTCCTTGGGAAGGAGCCACTTTTGGTCAGGGTGGTGACAGCAAGCCTCATTCAGAAGGCAACATTTGAGCAAAGGCGATTAGGAGCTGAGCTTAGCCATTCGATCATCTGGAGGGAGAGGATCGCAGACAGAATGCATAGTGAGTGCAAATTACTACTTATATTATTCCATCATCTGAAAGTGGGAAAGCACCTAGCGTAATTATGGGATGTCAGGGAGGCCACTGTGGTTGGAGTGCAGTGACCAAGGAAGAGAGGAATAGAAGAAGGAACAGCAATGGGCCAGACCGCCAGGCTGCTGTAAGGGTGATCTTCTGAGTGAAATGGGGTCCACCAGAGAGCTTTGAGGAAATAACATCAGCAGTTCAGTTTTAGAATTAGTAAGTTTTTGATGTGCAAACAGATATGTCAAGGAGGCAGTTAAATATATAAGCCTGGAGTTTGGGGTGGAGGTCTGGGTTCATGACGTAAATGTGGGAGTAGTTGGCAGAGATTTACGGCCATGGCAGTGGCAGAATCACCAAGGGGGCAGGGTACAGAGCCCTGGGACTTTCCTAAGACTCTCCAACATTAAGGTTGGGAAAGAGCGGAAGAGCCAGACCAAGGTAGTAGGATGGAAATCAGGAATGAAGAAGCTGTTCCAACCCACAGGGAGTGTTGCTGACGGTCAGGTACAGCGAGGCTGAGACTTCGCAGTTGGCTTTAGCAAGAGGAGACCCTCAAGCTCGATTTGAGCAGGATGAGAGGGAGTTTGCGGTGATGAAAGGAGTTGAAAATAGCAAGGACTGTAAGTCCTCACTTAATGTCACCAACAGGTTCTGTGACTTCCGGAAAAATGACATTTAACAAAGCCAGTTTGCTGTAGGCTAATCCATATAAGTCAGAGTTAGGTTCCTCCAGCATCTCATTAACATTATACAAAACGACCTTGAACTAAGTGACATTATTCTAAGACCAGCTGTAGAGACAAGTCTTTGAAGAAGTTTTGTTCCAAAGGGCAGCAAGGACATAGGGCAGAACCCAGAGGGAAGGATGGGTCTTTCCTGCTTCCCTTCCCCTTCCTCTTGTCCTCCCTCCCCGCATTCCCCGCCTCATCTACTTTGCCACATATCTCATCTACCAGGCGTTTGTCAGTGTCCAACTACCTGCAGCTCAGTGTGCTGGTTCAACCCACCAGCCTGAGAGAGCATCGGTGCTTTTCATTATTTTTTAATTGTGTGATTACAGTATTTGAATTCTAAAGGATATTTGAAATAGACCCTTAACTGTCATCCTCATTCAGATCCACCAAAAGCTTTTCTGTAATTTTTGAAGGAATTATATATTGTTCTAAAACTTGCACCGAGTGATCTTTCCATGAACCTACGCTATAGACTAATGATACTTGGCCATTTATAGAAGTAATGTTTCTGTAGTCTGAGGTTCTTAACTGGCCAGCTTCCATTCCTTATCAGTTCTCCATCAAATTGATGCCAAGCAAATCCATGCAGAGAGGGAAAAATTTGGTATGAACATTGCCAATATCGAGGGTCCAGATAGAATGTACATACTATGCTTTAATCCATAAGAGAGGTGGAAATGGATTTGCAGTCGCTTTGTATCTGTAGCACATTTGATGGTGATACCCCACAGCTCCTGGAGCCAAGCTGTTTGGAATGAGTGTCCTTTATTCCGTTAAGGATGGGGATCATTGTGTAATGCCCAAAGCTTTGGAATTCCAAGTCTAGTGAAAACTAATTATTAATAACAGTTGTCAAATCCTTGTAATTGAAACGTAGTATTTTTTGCTTTTGAATAGTTTATATCTAAGTCCAATCAAGCTACACAGCAAACGATGAGGTGGCTACGTTATACCCAAATGGGTATGTGAGGAGGGGTTGGCACGTATGTGCCCTAGACCATAGCTTAGCCGTTTCTCAAGAACTTCTTGGAAATCTGCTTTAAGCCTGAAGCCCCCTCCAAGCTCTGAAGTGTACCCCAGTCTTGAGACATACACAGGAGTGTTCCCTGCCAGATGGGTCTGAAAAGCATGCTGTTGTGCATAAAGAACGAGAGAGTTGCTGTGGATTTTTTTTCTAAATTGCAATACACTGTTTCCTAAGAATTTATTCATTTAAATGGAAGGCTTCAGGGGATGTTATTACCCACCTATCTGGATTTATTTCACCGGAACTGGTGACATTTGTGTAGTTCCTGAAAGATGGACCAAGTTCCAAGCAGCTACTGGCCTTAGATGCCTACAGGGCCATAGAAGGCCATCAGCATAAAAGCGTCAGTCTCACCTCCACAGGCAAAGAAGTTGTGTTGTCTGGAGACTTTATTGGGGGGGATTGTGTCTTTTTTCCAGAAGTTATTGTTAATGTTTGGGTTTTTTTTAATATCTGACACTTTTTGTTTGCTTTTCTTATTAAAACAAAGGCTTAGGCCCTGGCCAGTTTGGCTTAGCAGTTAGAACGTTGGCCAGCGCAGACCAAGGGTTGCAGGTTCGCTTTCCTGTCAAGGGCACGTACCTGGGTTGCAGGTTCAATACCCAGCCCTGGTCTGGGTCGTGTGGGAGGCAAGCAATCTATGTATCTCCCTCACAGTGATGTTTCCTCTTCCTCCCTCCCTCCCTCCCTTCCACTCTATCGAAAAAAAAAAAAAAGAAAAAATTTCCTCGGGTGAGGATTAACAACAACAAAAAAAGAAATGGTAATATCCTTGAGCCATTAAATTTTGGGTAGCACATTTCCATCAAGAATCCCACTATGTCAGCGATAGCTTGTACCCTTCTGATATATCTGTGTTAGGTATATCAACCAACAACCCGCCCTACTAGATAACCTTGCAAAAAACCCGCAGAAGACCCAACTTGACCCTTATTCATGAAAAACATGAAATGGATAGCCTCAATTTGCTGTCATTTCAATGACGTGTTTAAGAATTGTTAGCTGCTTACCATTTATTGGAAATCTATTCACAGTTTTTGGAGGACAGAGACGGCAGTGCAAGCATATGAAGAGATCTGGTATTTATCTTACCCTGTGTTTCTTTGGAAACTTTATTATACACAAAGCTATTTTTAATTTAGCCCTGGCCAGTTTTCTCAGTGGTTAGAGCGTCAGCCCACGGACCAGTGGGTCACGGGTTCGATTCTGGTCAAGGGCGTACCTCCGTGGCGGTTCGTCCCCAGCCCTGGTCTGGGTTGTACGGGAGGCAACCAGTCGATGTGTCCCTCTCACATTGATGTTTCTCTCCTTCCCTCCCACTCTATCTGAAGATAAACAGAAAAATATCCTTAGGTAAGGATTAAAAAAAAAGTTATTTTTAACGTAAAGGAAGGTAGAGGAGGGGGAGCAGATCTTACCTAAATACTGCCAGACATCTCAGAATCCTGAATGGACTGAACTAAATCAGGGAAGGTCTTATGTGGGTTTGAAAATTAGCCTCTGAATTCCAAAACGTTGCCTACTGTTTTGGATTGTGAAATTGTAGGAAATGGCTGGATTGATGTTCAAGGAGAAGCAACTGAAATGCTTCTCTCCAGCTGTTCTTGGGTAAGAAAATTTTTCTTATTGGTAGAAAAATGACTTCTTTTCTAAAAATACGGTAAATATGAGAAGGGTTATTTTAATAACGAGCCTTTTTTGGAACCATATAGTGGCGGTCGAATTCTCAAGCGTTTTAGAAATGTCCTTTCTAATGTCGACGTAATCTGTCACAGCACTGTGCCCCTGGGAGCGGATCAGATTCTTCTTCGAGGCGCTCAGCTGAGAAATACACAGTGGGTCCACGGAATAGTCGTCTACACTGGACATGACACCAAGCTCATGCAGGTGGGATCTTTATCTATGCAACCCTCTTGGACCTAAATCTTTTGAACATATGCCGTTTGTAGCTTTTGGTGCGTAGTCCCAAACACGGGGGCCCGTCTGTCACAGACTCCTGAGCCCCACTCCGCGTCCAGAATCCGTTGTTTGGCGAGTGGCCTGTGTGCTGGTTCACTGCACACGGAGCACGGGCGTTTCACCAGAGATCACCCAGTGCGTGAGCTCAGTGGTCTGGTTGCTGGTCCATTGGCAGCATATACTAACTGTTGCAGTGATATCTATAAGCTGTCTGCGTAATGGGTGCTCTGTATTTGTCTTATAGTTGTATTTGAATACAACGGTCAAATTTTAGAATGTATTTCCATTTCTTAATAAAATTAAAAGAAAAATGTGTGAGCCCTGGCCGGTTTGGCTCATCTGTTAGAGCGTCGGCCTGCGGTCCAGAGAGACCCGGGTTTGGTTCCCGCTAAGGGCACATGCTTCGGTTGCAGTTTGTCCCTGGCCCTGGTTGGGTCGTGCGGGAGGCAGCCACTGATGTGTCCCTTTCACGTTGATGTTTCTCTCTCTCTCTCTCTCTCTCTCTCTCTCTCTCTCTCTCTCTCTCTCTCTCTCTCTTCCTCTCTCTCCCTCCTACTCTATCTGAACAATAACAACAACAAAAAATGTCCTCGGGTGAGGATAAAAAAGAAAAACTTGTGAATCAAATGTTGGCCATTGTTTCACAGCATTTTTATATTAGGCCATTCCTCAGTGTTCAGTGGTTAGATAGGTGTGGGAAACTCAGTTTTAAGGTACTACTTGAAAATCTGCGCTGAGGGCTGGTTGACAACTACATTGTAAAGGCACGAAAGTGTAATCACCAGGCAAGGAGACTAATCAGTCTATTAATTCTGAAAGCCATTTTATATTGATTATGACACATTTAATTTACTGTCCTGTGGATGCCTTGGTTAGGACACATCTGGCATGGTCATTTTTTATCATTAAATATATCTGAGGAAACCTGTCTCTGTTATTCTTTATAGCCAGGGCTGCTTAGATAGCTACTGTGTTCAGTGAAAACAATCCCCCAGTGCCACCAGAAGTCTAGAAACAGTGATCCTTTAAATGTTGCCTTCACACTTTGGAATTTCCAGGTGTCTGGCTGTGGGGTCATAGGCCACTTTCTGCCTCTCTTCCTAAGTAGAGATGCTCAGCTAGATGCTTCTAGTCTACCCTGTTTGCATGAGTAGTCAGGAAATACATTGCTCATCTTACCTGCCACAATGCAAAAGCTGTGTTTACAAAAGGAATGTCATTTCCTTCTCTTACTGATTTACATCCTAGAAAACGGCTTAGGGATGGAGCGGCCCTTAGAAAAAGAGCCAGTTAACCTTTGACAGCTGTTACCTCTGTGATTGTTGTCTGTGTGAGTTTCAGGTGTGTTCCCATGTGTAGATTTTGAGTTTGATGAGGACTTTGTCATCCTCATCAAAAGACTAGATACCTGTTACTAAATCGTTGTACACATTTCTTATTACTCACTTGTTTCTTTTTACAGAATTCAACAAGCCCACCACTTAAACTCTCAAATGTGGAACGAATTACAAATGTGCAAATTTTGATTTTATTTTGTATCTTAATTGCCATGTCCCTTATCTGTTCGGTGGGCTCAGCCATTTGGAATCGAAGGCATTCTGGAAAGGACTGGTATCTGAATCTGAATTGTAGGTATTAATGTGCCTGTTGACATTTTTTCTTTCATTAAAACATGCATTTGTGTCACAGCTGCTCTTGGAATTTCCGATTATTTCTGAAAGGAAAACATTCTTACCAAGATAGCTGGGAGTTTATTCTTTATTTTTCAATGCAATTTCCAGTAAAAGTAAAATGTTAGAATCTCTAAAATTTCGAAGTCCTAAGAAATGTAACAGGTACTTCACAGTAACATATACTGTCATTTTATTAATGTTATTAATTTGTTTTAAAATGTTTTAATACAGGTGGTTAGCTGTCTGGTAAAGAAAGCAGACTGAGTATATTTAAAGCAGCAAAAGTGGTGTACATGTTTTTTAAATGTTTAAATTGAATGTACTTTCATTTGAACTCATGAATGCAGTGAATTCTGTGTTCGTGGTCACCTTCCTTGTCTTAGGGCAAGTGCTATTAAATAGTTTCCTTTTGGAGACTCTATCTTTTTACTATTGTAGGATTAATACACCTCCCCTAAATATTTCTGGAAAGTAAGTAAGCAGTGTCTTTTGATGCGTCCTTAACCAGTAAATGCTTAATTTTCAAAAGCATGAAGTCAAATTTTAGTATAATCTTATGGCAAAATTGTGTGTTTTTTTTCTGTTATCTTTTTATTATATTGATTTAGATTTGCAGCTATTCCAAGGTTTGTTTGTTTTTTTAGTCATTGATTTTAGAACTGTTATGACTACCATCAATTTCTTTCTTCGTATACTTTCCGGTATATCAGGGATAGCTGTTTTATTTTCATTATTGAAGAGAAAGAGTTTAATTTACACTGGGCTGAATTTACCTCGGGTCCAGCCCTACATTGTTTTTGCTATTTGGGTTGGTTTTACTGGTACTATTTGCTTTTAAGGCATTCTTTAAATTGGGAGCACGTTTCAAGAATTTATATAAAAGTCGTTCTGCCCAGTTAAGATTTTTTTAATAAGCCCTCAGTTCTGTCCGTGATATCTCTGAACTTTGTGTTTGGAACAGAATTTGAAATACTTAATGGTACTTTCACGTTTTAGTGCCATTATGCAGTTCTTAATGGGATTCAAACATAGCACAAATAATGCTGTTCCATCTTGAATGTTTTTCAGAAAAAGGATATGTTATCAACACAGTATGACTCTCAAACTGTTGAGATACAAATGTACAATATGAAAAATTGTTGTTCTGCTTAAAGTTCTGATCAGTGCAAAACAAAGCACATAAAACGAAATGGTTTTTCCTCCCACTTTTCCTAACAGATGGTGGCGCTAATAATTTCGGGCTGAATTTTTTGACCTTCATCATCCTTTTCAACAATCTCATTCCTATCAGCTTGTTGGTTACATTAGAAGTGGTGAAATTTACTCAGGCATACTTCATAAATTGGGTAAATATGAATTATTGTTTGCTGTTACTCTAAACATATTTTTTCTTTTCTTCATTCCTGATACGGTCTTTTGATGTTTCAGAGGAAGAAGAAGAAGAAGAAAAAACTTAATTATACCTTACATTTTATTGACTGCAAGATAATATTTCAAAATATTTTTAAGCCTAACATAATTATAATAAACTCATTTGATGTGTGAAAATCCGTAACAAAGTCTCATCACAACATTGCCTAGGTTTATAGACCAGACATCTGGAGAAAATAGATCTCTAGTTCAGGAACCTCATTTTGCCTTAGGTAGTGGTCTTGGGGAAAAGGAGGACCCTGGGGTTTGGAGTTAAAATCTCTGGACTGTGGTTCTGGTTCTGGTTCTGTCATTTACTAGCTGTGTGAACGTGGCAAGCCACCTGACTTCTTTGAGACGTATTTTCTTGGACACTCACATAGGAATGATAAACACGGTTTGCCTGCATCTCCTCATGGTTCTATAGATCAAAAAAAATTTCACAACTTAGATTCGTAAACAATTGAACACTATAAAAATAATAGTGTATTCACTTCTTGTAGCAACCAGGTGTCTGTCGTGTGTTATACATCCATGTAGTTTATTTACTGCACTAGAAACCATTTCAGCTACGCTTGAATTTTTCCTTGTTTTTTTCCCTCTTAAATATTTTTTTAAAATCTTGGGAAAATGTGCTGGACATCTGTTTCCTCGATGTTTTGTTTATAAAGTATGTTGCTCTTCCTCAGTTTTATTTTTATCAAATTAATTAATTTATCTAAATTAAATAAATCTCCAGGCCTAGTCTGCTTGAAAGGTTAATTTTTCTTTCATTTTGAGAAATTTTGGTATTATCTTTTGATGTTTCTTTTTAAGTCACTTAAAAGTTTTTTCCATATGAACAATATTAGGAGTTTTTAAAATATAACTGATGATCCTTTTGTAACTGCTCATTATTTTATTAGGGTAAATGAACTACCTAGTTGTCAGTCTTAATTCCTTGGGGAAAGATCAGTATAATTTAGAAATCTAAAATGAGCTGCAAGCGTAGCTCATTACATATAGGAGATGTTATTGAAAAATTGTGTAATAAAATGTATGTAAGTACATTTAAAACTTATTGAAGGTGTCCCACTTAAAATAAGAATTATAAGATGACTCATTGTGAAATCAAATAACTGGTCAACCCATTTATTATTTTATTTGGATTTTCAAGAATAATGCTTGCTTGAAAGAATATGTAATTTTAGTGGTGAGTGAACCCAGCAGACCTTTCAACCACCTTTGTAATAGTGATTTTTTTTAATACTCCTGACCAAAGAGACCTTCTTCCCTTATCAGACAGCTTATTCTTTGTGTGGAAATAAGATTAGTAACTGCCTTCTTTTGATTCTAGTTCTGTGCAGTAGGTCTTTTATGAAAATTGTCTAATCTTGTTTCCAAATCCTAGCCTTGTAAAACATTTGAACGTGACCATCATGCCAATTCTGCTATTATATCCCCACTCCCAATTCAATATCATCCATCTCCTCTGTTCTTCATGTCACATGATTTCCAACTTAATCCCCATTCTAGTCACGCTTCTCTAAAACTTGCCTCTTGAAACATGGCACGCACAACTCAACAACCTACCCCAGAAAAGATATTGCGCAGTCTGAAATACAGATATGGAGGGGGTTTGATTTGGCCTTTTCCTTTGACATGTGAATATCAGTAGACCCTGACTAGTCAATAAACTGCCCTACTATAGAAAATATTACTTTTTATAGGATTAAGAGTTAAACCTCATAATTTTGGGTGCAAAGCAAGTACAAGTTGGTACAAAAACCATACATTTTTCTTTGGATTTTGAGAATGCACTGATTGTGCTTTCGAGTATAGACAGACAGTGTAAGAAACTTGGCCAAGACAATATGACCAAGTAGAATTCTTTAGGTCATTTTCCCAGGGGCGTGATGTAATTATTTTACCAGTATTTAGTTGCTGTTATTTTAGCTCACATTATGCACTTACTTTGTGTCATACATTGTCTTATTTCATCTTTATACTTGGTCTGACATCCAGAGACATGCTCTAACCACCACACTGTTCTGCCTTTACTGTAGAATATAATGTTCTGTGTTGAGTGCTGTTCAGGGAAATCAATTGGAATGGTACAAGGATGGCAAAAGTTGAGAGTGATATGTATACAGCTTACCAGTTAATAAAATTTCACTCAAACTCATTACCAGTTGTATTCAGTGATTTATTTTATTTTGTTTTAAAAAGGATCTGGACATGCACTATGAACCCACAGACACTGCTGCTATGGCTCGAACATCTAATCTGAATGAGGAACTTGGCCAGGTAAATGAAATCTCCCGTGGCTACGTTGACACGGAAGTCAGATTCGTTGTCATTTCTGCCGCATGTGGCAACTTCATATGAGTTGACAGCTCCTAATTTTCCATTAGTTGAATAATCAGCATAAATACATGTTACTACATAACTATTAATTTTCCTTTTTAGTAAATGAAGTTGTAAAAACATTTAAAGCCTATTTTGCTCCCAAATAAAGTATTGCACTGAGAGATGTCCTTCAGTATATAATCTGACTAGTAGCAAAGTATTAGTGGTTTTTGAGTTACAAAAATTGTTCATAGCTTTTGACCAGAAAGGAAGAAAGTTAAATTGATCCATGAAGTTATATAAGTTGAAGTATAATAGTAGTCAAACAGGAACTTTAGATTTATAATTCATACAGTATTCATACATATGTGTATATTTGTAATCCATTTATTCATACATGGTGGGGCAAAAGTAGGATTACAATTGTGAGTACACAGAACACAGTTTATTCCTATGTCATTATGTATTGATTATTGTAGCATTTTCCATATGAACAACTATAAACCTACTTTGGCCCCCCCCCTGTACTGCTTAAGAAAAGAGTCTTCTTTTTTTTAATACCATTGCCATTTGCTAACTTTTATTTTTCAAATAGCATTTAGACCAGAAATATCCTTTTCCTTACCAGTTCAGATGTTATAGGAGGTTAACTGCAGAAGCTGTTGCCAGTTCTGCAGTTGTTCTGTAGAGAAATGCTGGTTGATGTTTTAGTGCCCCATAAACGTTAAGTAGCAGGAAAGATGCTTCCTAGTGGAAATTCAGATCCTTTTAGGGCAGATTTCTATATGACTGCAGCTTTTCTAATATCTCCATAGTTTTAAAAAATAGTCCATAGTCTTCAGTGTTCATACATGAAATGATTCACTGCTAAAATACTAAAAAAAATATAGTCGAACATATTCCTTGATATGCAGAAAGAACTCTGTTAGCATTCCATTGTACCCCTGCAATGTAACAGCATTGATAAAAAGAATAATTTAAGGGTTTTTTTCACCCTCTGTAAGAAACTGGCGTAAAAAGACTTGTGAAAATTTAGTGAGACATTTTAAACTCTTTTTTTTTAGGTAAAGTACATATTTTCAGACAAAACCGGTACTCTGACATGCAATGTAATGCAGTTTAAGAAGTGCACCATAGCTGGAGTTGCTTATGGGTAAGTTTTTTTCTCTTTAAATAGAATATTAAATACAAATTTAATTAGTGTTAACAATTTGGTCCATTTTCAGAGTTCTTTTAGTGGAGATTATTGTATTTTAGTCTGGAAAACAGCTGTTTTAATTTCCGCGTACGCGTGCGTTGTGTTTTATATTTAGGCGTTGTTTTTCCTTTGGAACTACCTGCGAGGTGGGGGCCGCCCACCAGTGTTTGGAACTCTACCTGCTACAAACACACTTCCCTCTGCATTGCCATTATGTCAGAGTACAGCTGGCCTGTGGTAGGAAATGCTCTCTGTCCTCAGGCAGTTTCCAAGATAAAACATTGTTGTTTCTCTGGTACTTATCCCTTTGATTTGTTTTTGTTTTTGTTTTTCTTTTATTATCTCTCCACTTTGCAGTCACAGACCAATTTAAATTTCAGATGTTGGGAAGGAAGTAGGGACATGAAACTCTTAAGTCCAGGAATAATGAGTACCACCAAAAACTTGTATCAGACTCTCTCTGCCTCTTAGAATGTGCTGCTGAGCATTCATTATTTCTCATCGCCAGATATGCCTACCTGAACTGTCCGAACGCCTTCTTTTTGAAATACTTTAAAGGGTAAAGGGAGAAAATTGAATTCTACATTTCCTAAAAAGACATGATCAGAAAGTGAAACACCCTCCTGGTTGATTGAATTGGCCAGTTACCAACTTTTCCAACCATCTTTATCCACAAGGGAGACTGGTAAATATCAGTCCGTCAGCCATCCAAGCAAGGGCACTTGGCTTCGGGTTGTCTGGCATGCACCGCTCCTCCCCGCTCACACTCTGCCTCCAGGCACTAAGCTACTGTAAAAATAGTGCATTGAATTTCCAAGATGCCTTAGTTAAAATTATAAGTAAACAACCGTTTGGTAAAAAATTCTAAACGCGTATGACTACTCCCATTCACAGGGTCCAAAAAGAGAACTAGATGGAGGCAGATGTCCTCGTTCTTTGGGTCAGCAGGAAATGGGACTAAAAATGGCTTCAAATTGCTAAACTAACAAGACTTTTGAATGTCTTTTCACATCGTAAAGACAGCCTGTTAATCTGAGAAGCGAGCTTAGTGTTTCCAGAACTGAGTGCCACTGTGCGTCTTTCCTCTTTATCTGAAGATCTTCTGATTCTCTCAGGCAAAGAGCCTCTCCTCCCTCCAACCCCAGAATTGCTACTGGCCTCACTGGGCACCCGCTGGAGCGGGAGAGGGACAGCCACACCTTTAGACGCTGTGTGTACGAGACCCACGGTAATCCCTGATGAGAGAAAGACATACTGAGATTCTAGAGTTTGTTGTATGATACTTGCTGATATATTTATGATGATTGTTTTTACACACATTCTGCATCGATTCATAGATGTGATCATTAGAGTGATCTGTTTGACCATTGGCATCCCTTTTTACTTTGTCCAGTTTCCAGTTGAAGAAGTAAGTTTTCAAATGAGTAATTATTGATGGTGAACTTCTCAGACCAGAAAGCTAGAATGATATTTAAGTGTTGTTCTTCATTTAATCCGTTGTTGTTTTAATTCTTGGAACAAGTCCTTCAACACTTGCAGGCAATAGTTCTTAAGAGCAGTGTTCTTCCACCATGGCCGGTTTGGCTCAGCGGTAGAGCATCGGCCTGCGGTCCAGAGAGACCCGGGTTCGGTTCCCGCCAAGAGCACGTGCCTCGGTCGCGGTTTGTCCCCAGCCCTGGTTGGGTTGTGCGATGTGTCCCTTTCGCGTTGATGTTTTTCTCTCTCTCTCTCTCTCCCCCTCCCACTCTATCTGAACAACGAAAAAAAAGAGTAGTGTTCTTCCTGTATCTATTGGTGATATAGTCATTAACTGTATTAGGGTACCGTGAGTTTGAGACTAAAGATATTAAGCAGTATTAGAGTTAAGAATTGTCATCATTGCCCTGGCCAGTTTGGCTCAGCGGTAGAGCATCAGCCTGTGGTCCAGAGAGACCCGGGTTCGGTTCCTGCTAAGGGCATGTACCTCAGTTGCAGTTTGGCCCCAGACCTGGTTGGTCGTGTGGGTGGCAACCACTCAATGTGTCCCTTTCACGTTGATGTTTCCCTCTCTCTCTCTTCCTCTCTCCCTCCCACTCTATCTGAACAAAAAATGGAAAAATGTCCTCGGGTGAGGATAAAAAAAAAAAAAAAATTAAAAAAAAGAATTGTCATCATTTAGATTAAGTTTTCAGTGAAACAAATTTCCTTTCAGGAAAATAATCTCTCTTAATATTGAGGTGTAGTCTTAAGACATGCATTCTAGTGGTACCTTTGTCACTAATTCACCAGGTGACCCAGGACAATTCCTTTCAAATATTCTAAACCCTTTAAAATGAGGATGGTGAGAGCAGGTGATTTTTTTTTCTTCAGGGTTTGGAGCAAGGAAAGGTTTATTGATTGAGAAGACCTTAGCTCAAGAAGATGGGAGAACTAATTCTCAAATCCATCCTGAGGGTGTTCAAAATTGAGGCTTTTTTTTTTTTTTGCATTTATCTTCAGATAGAATGGGAGGGAGAGAGGGATGAAGAGATAGAGAGAGAAACATCGATGTGAAACAGACACATCGACTGGTTGCCACCTACACGGCCCCAGGGCCGGGGACAAACTGCAACCGAGGTATGTGCCCTTAGCAGGAACCGAACCCAGGACTCTGGTCTGCGGGCCGACACTCCAGCCACCGAGCCAAACCAGCCAGGGCATAACTTGAGGCATTGTGTACATCAAGGGCAGAGAGAATGGGTGAGTGAAGTGAAGAGGTGGGTGGGGACTGTAGACAGGAAAGGGGTCCCAGGAAAAGTGTAAAATTTCTAAATCCCTTTGTTCCTGGTCGACACCCACTGATCTGAGTTTGGTTCTGGAGTTATTATGAAAGTAGATGATCTTTAAGGTTGTTTTCCTAAATATAAAATTCCAAAGTATTTAGAAATTAATGAAACAAAAGCGTATGTTCCTTTGTTTGCAAATGTTAACTACATAAACAAAATTATGTTTCTTCTCTGGGCGTTATATCATGCTTTCAAGAATATCAGAACCCTTGTTGAATGAGAGTTGTTAATTAGCTTCCAATAATCACGTATTTATTGGTTGTGTAAGTGCTTTTAGGACCCTTAATCCTGGCTAGGTTTTTATTAACATCCTCTCTTCCAAACATATTCACGGACAATAGGAATGCCGGCATTGTAGAGTTGTTAATCTTTGAAGGCTTTGGGTAAACTGTTACTTAAGTCCACCAAACCCTACAGGAAAGAGTAATTACTGTCAACGCCTCTCTGGGAAGTTCCTCCGGGCACTCTTGGGTTACAGGAGTCCAGAAGGGAACTAACATGCCTTAATTACCCCGTCTGCCCACAGCAGCATTTAACACTTGTTTAATATGCGGAACTATTAGGTGGATGCCCTTCTAGCTCCAGCACAAGGAAGCATGGGTTTATCCCCCAGGATGTGGCAAAACAAAGGAGAATAACATTCTTGCACATACAAACCGAACGTATGCCCTTGGGACTCCAGTTGCAGAGCTGGTACTTTTCCTGTGTTTTTAAGATGTGAGATAAAGCCTCAGTTTACCCTAGACAAAGTCAAAGGTCAGTTCTCTTGCCTTTATCAGTTTGAAGGATAAGACAAAGTCTCTTGATAGTATAATCTTTACCCAGTTCTATATATCTGTAGGTTTGATAGAAGATAATATTTAACACTTAAAACAGTGCTTCAAAATTTACTCTTGATTAATTTTTTTTCTCATTTCACATAAACTTTGCCCCAAAATGGATTAATGATGGGCAGTGAAAGAAAAGAATTTGTATTCACTGAAGATGATTATTTTCTAGAGATCAAGTTTGTATCAAAGACACCAACATGTATAAATTTATTAGATTTCTTTTTTTAACTATGAATGAATGGTAATGTCATTTGTAAATTTAACCCTTTACAAACTAGATATGCTACTGTTAATCAATTAAAGTATCATTTTAGCAATTTTCTTCCTGTAGAGAATATTTTAATTTTATTACAGTTACTTGAATGCCAGGAATAGGTATGAGGTTTTTATGTTCAAGGCTAGGATTCTAAATATAGTTAATATTCTAGGCTACGTTCCTTAGTATCATCGATGTCAATAATTTAGACCTTACTGTTCAAATGAGCTGATGAGCTAGACTAGACTTAACAGTGTATAATCTCTAAAGTTAAAAAAATTCCATTAAGCAAACAGGGATGATTTTCATGCCAGTAAGTCATTTATTCAGTATTAAAACCATTTCATAGACATTTCCCTCTAAGTGAAAAATTAATATTCTTAAAAGTAGTCTTTATATATGGATACAGTATGTGAGTAGCTTTACTTGACAATATTCTATTTAGCAATATGTTTGCTGACAGGATCAAGTACTTCTTTAACGCCAAGAGGAGATTCATCATGAGAAACCTCACAATTACCACAATACTTAGCCCTCAATCTAGATTAAAACCAACAGATTTATCTTCCTGCCCATCATGATTGGTGGTGAAAGCTGGGTAAACACCATGAATTTCTTTATTCACCTTCTTCAGTGAATGTTCATCTCTCTGTACGTGCACTTTGTTAGATGATGGGTCTGTGAGGGACAGAAGTTCACATGACTCCTACCCCCTAGAGTTGATAGTCTAGTTGGGGGTTAATGATGTTAATTCAGTAGTCATACAGACCTAACAGGACAAAGGTCTATGTGAGTCTGGGATTGGGGGTTCATCTAACCAGGGAGGTCAGGGACTGCCCCCTGAGAAGGTGATACTTGAGCTGAGATCTAAGACCGAGTCTGATTAAGTGAAGAATTTACCAGGCAGATGTAACACTCATGCAAACAAAGGCAAATTATCAGACGGCGCAGACACACCAGCTCTGCTGGAGCAGTGATCCCTGGGAAACGCATGCAGACAGGATCATAGCAGGTGCGTGGGTGGCCTGCTGCTCGTCACATTGCAGGGTGCTCAGCGTTGGCCAG